ACTCAATACCATCACACAGAAAAAGTCCAGGTGCAAATAAAATCATCCCTAAAAGTGATCCTGGCTTTGATTTGGACATATTTTGCAGTGATGCTCAGCAATCCTCTAGACAACTTACAGAACGATATCCTGTAGTGCAGTGAGGCTAAGCCAGGGCACAGCTGAATCCATTTCAGCTGAAATCAGCATTTCATGGCAGTTTCCTTAAATAGTGAATTTACATTTAATTTACATGTGCTATTTTGAAGATTGTTACACCCTACTTTCATGTTACTAAGATAGGAGACAAAAATAGGGGGAAAAAACCACCCTAAACCCAGCAAAACTAGAAACAGCTTTTCTTCTTAGCTGGTCATACTTACAATTTATTTGGTTTCACAACCAACACCATCAGAAACACTAAGGATGAATTATGCTGAATGATCCAATACCACATACTCTGTCACTTGTAGGGCTGCAGACTGAGAACTCACTGTCAGGAAAGGATTTTCTAACTTTAAATGATGGCACTGCAATTTACATAGGTTGCATATCAAATAACATCTGCTATTAGCTGGCTGGTTTTAGCATGCTCAAGCTATTAATGTGTCAAATGATACTGGAGTTAATTTATAGCTATATGGAATACAGGACTCCCTCTTGTTTTCATTTGGTAAATGGTCAGAGACATGCATTTTCAACACTATATTATCTTGGAAAGGCAAGAAACACGTTGATATTTTTCTCTTGACTGACAAAGAATTAGTGCTGTAGCTCTGATGACTTTATCAGCGTTAATGAGACATACACTCACGAAAGTGTGCCCAATGATAGCCATACTTTGTCATCTTGAAATATAACTCTACCTTGAAATCGTTCATCTACACCTTCATTACTCTTAAGAATAATGTTATTCTTGCTAATAAATATCATGGCTCTTTAATAAAAAGAAAGACTATTGCTATTTTAAGATCTTGCATGTTACTCTTTAATAATCAAGCTTCAGCCATTTCCAGAGCAAAATGTTATGCTACAAAGAGCAAGGAACTGTTAAGTTTTACATACAGTGAATTTCCATTATTGACAACTGTTTTTACAAGCTGTACTTTTTGACTTTCCCCAGATGCTATCTGATGACAAAAATTCCCTGCCCAAATATCAGCAGAAATTACTTCTGTGACTAAAAAACAAAGCAAAACAAACCAACAAAAAAACCCACCAGTCAAACATAATGATCCTTCTGCAACAAATAGGAAAACCAAAATGTCTCTGATTCAGTGATCTGCTTGAGCAGTGTCTGTCTTCACTTTACCTTTGCTCTACCTTCGGCTACTGACCAATCAATAAACTGTTAAAAGAAAACAATATCTGCCCAAATAAAGAAAGGGGTTAACAAAGTCTGTTCATGAAACCCACAGACTAATCATTTATTCACAAACAAGCAGTAGCTTCTACCACTCCTGCCTGTGATTTCTGACCATTTCATTAATTAGATAACCTGAAAAATTCTCTTGTATTTAACTTAATGAATATTAACTTAACTTTAATATTCAAAATACAGACTTTGTGTATTGATATTCAAATTCCCTAACTGATAATTTTTTTTATGGGGAAATAAGCGTGCACTGAGTGGTTAACATGCACTTTTATAGCTTGTCCGTGTTCACTGAAGCTGTCTGTCGTAGGCACCTGCACCTCCCTCTTCCCAGCAGTTCCCATCGTAACCTTGACTTATGTCAGCAGCTGAAGATGCAATAGAAAAGCAATTTTTTCATGTACTCTACAGATACCACCTACAATGTCATTTACATTTTACAAACCATCCTAATTTTTAGAAAATCCATTTTGTAATTTAAAATAAAAGTAAAATAAAAATAAAATTTTTCTTTAAACTAAGAAGTTTACTCTCTGAAAGACCCCTAAGAGGAAACATCAACTGGCCTGACTCATTGGTCTATTTTCTAACACTATTAATGAAGCTGTAAAGCTGCAAGGTTGCAGTGACAATATTTGATGTACTAACGTGTTCATCCAACACTGACTCTGTTTTTTTAAGGAGAGAGTTGCCATGCGAACATCTAGACACGATACAGCAAAATCAGCTGTGCTGTAGCACTAGAAATCACAACTGGATGGATTTGGGGTACTGCACTACTGCCATCTACACAAGCTTCATTAGTGATTTATCTAGATAAAGGGTTTTACTATCCATTGTTCTTTCTGGCAATGTTTATATTTCTGAAAATCAAGTGCAAACCTTAACAGATCTGAACAATAGTGCTTTCAGCACAATTAAAATAGGTTAAAATGATGACAAAGTCTAAGACAGAAAAATCAAGTTCCAGAGTGGATACCGTTATCTTTCACTAGTTTCTTCTATCATGACAACTGGGAAGAAAAATCAGAAGCACTTTTGCATCAAGATACATTGCAGTAATTAGGTAGAATTTTACCAGGCAATGCAACATGTTAAATAAAGTAATTCTAACAATACACTAGCCTGCTAAATGACAACAGGAACTCAAGAACATTTATATCACTTTCTTCCACTAACCAATGGAATTAGCTTTAGTATCCTTATATCTAATTATTGCTTTTTACAATCAATATCTACTTTATTAGAAAGCATGGAAATGAAGAACAGATCAGAGTTCAAAGATTTCAAATAACCTGTGTTCTCTCAAAAACATATCTAGAAATAGTTGAGTTAAAACCAGACACGCATTATTAACCTCATTACTGTAATATTAATATTCATTCACTATATTTTGCATCACAACTGAAAAATTTACAGGCGTATTTTTTGGATTAAGTGGTTCTTCATCAGCCAAGGTTGATAGTTGCAATGAAGAAAAATATAGTGTACTGATGGAAATCTATAGAAATGGATGCTATGTTTCCTGTTGTTTTCTGACCAGGCAAATGTAGTGAATTTTAATCTGAAATTGTTTGCATTTTCTTGAGTGAGGTTTAAGCCTACTCACTGAGTACGAGAAACAAGACCGACTCTTAGTCCTTGTTCTGATGTGTTTGGTTTAACAGAAGTCTCAGCACAGGCTCAATCAGGTCTCTCCATATATACTAACCTTCCAGCATTTCAGTGCCGTACCAGACACATCTGTGTCATCACTGGATCCACAGCAAAAAAATTTACATCTTCCATTGGTTTCTTGTGGTCACACTAGCAAATAGCACAGCTCTCAGAATTACAAACTCATGGAAATTAGGTTTGGAAGGCAGCCCTCTTAATTCAGCTTCTCTTTCTCTGTCTCAGCTCAAGTAAGTGTCAATTAAATCTGTTAATCTTGGTAAATACTTGCCTAGTCTGTGACTCAGGTACCTCAGTATAAAGGCAATGTAATATTACCCCACTGGCACTCTGGTAAAAATTATATTTGAAGAGCTGGATTCAAGCAGAGTAGAGATTCTTTGATTTATATCATGTGAATATCCTACCTCTGTGTTACTTTCATCTTAAATTCACTGGTTGGGTACTAGTCAGGACTTGATTCGTAGTGTTTTAGCCACAAAGCTGACACACAGGAAAAAAAAGTGAAAAATCACTGATTAAATAGCTGCAGTTCTTCTTTTGATAGGCATCGGTACAGAATGTGTCTTCTCTCTGCTATAATGTACCAGAAAATTAGCCTGCACCCTCCTGAAACCAAAGGTGTGGGCTTGTTCTGAATTAAAGCATTGCCAAAAAGCAGAAGTGAACATTAAAAAGTGCATAAATTACATAATACTCATACAGTTGGTAATGTAATTTATTACTTTTTTTTCCTCTCTCACTAATCTGGATCTGGCTTAAACTAGCAGTGATTGAAAGTTGTTGGTATCTGGTGGCTCATACATGATCTCTGTCATGTTCCCATTGGGAGAGTGCCTGGATGCCAAAAACAAATTCAAAATTACACCTTGTTCTTTCACATGTAATTATTCTGCCATAAGCAGCACAACAGCTGTCAGCCTTATTAACACGCAGGCCCAAGGCAGTTAGGGAAATGTGCCTCCCATCTGGAGAAGGGAAGACTTGAACCTCAGGAAGGCTGCTAGAAGGACACTCTTGAAACTAAAAGGCTCTGTGTCTCAGACCCCTTAAAATCTGCTTTAGTGCCACCTTCTTTCTCAAGAAAGAGTTTAAATATTCCTTCGTTAGGTCTCTGTATTACAGAACAATTTTCCAGACATTTTAACCTGTATTTCATGCCTATAAGAAACTTCTCATAAGTCTGCAACAAAAGACTCTTTAAAGCATAACAAAATGAAACATATAGAAATATATTTGTGTATTCATCCATAGGTTGAATCTTTACATGTCTGGCTTTAATGAATGTTAGTGATTTTCTTGCAAGTTGTAGGACTCTGCTTTGCTCCCTGTCAAGGCAACAAAGTACGACTGACCTCCCGCCTTCTATTCCTGAGCATCTCCTGATCAGCAGCTGCTGGCTACTCCCTCCCACCCTTCCTCTAGAGAGGATTTTGCATAGCTAATTATCCTTTTCATCTCTAAACTCTAACTCTGAGAACTTTGTAACTTTTGGTAAGTGACTGCCAAAAGCATCACCTCAATATTCCAGCCATTGTTCCCTTGGAGTTGTTTACTGAGATCTCTCCTCTCTGACCATTGTTTAGTTTCCTGTTTGCTCTTCCTTAGAGCTCCTTTGAATTCAACCCCCTTTACTCACAGAGAATAATGTGAAATGGATAAACAATTACACTAAAAAAAAAAAGAAGTAATTTTTACTCTCCAAATTCACATATGCAAATGACGTTGTGTTTAGAGCAGCAACAATTAGAACGTGAGATGCAGCGGGGAAGTTGTGTAGATGAACCTTTCATCTCATGGTGCTTCAGAGGTAAGTACTCTGCAAGCTGACAAGCTCCTAATAACCCAGGTTGGTGCAAAGACACAAGCGTGGTGAGGCCTTTTTCCCCAGACTGAAAGACCTACAACCCTCAGACACAGAACATGATGAACTCAAAGGATTCAATAATTTTGCAAAAGCCATCGTACTTACACTGTCATTGCTGCCTTTGTTGTCCTCGTATTTTGTCTCTATATGAATGGAGAATTTAGGCAAAAATGAGCACTGCAACAAAAGAAAAAGATGTTTGGTATAAAAAATAAGCCTTGTTTCACCAACAGTACATCCTGTTCAGTATCAGTTTCTTATTTTTTTTCAGATTACTTCAAGAAAAAGAGTCAAATATACACAGAACATAAGACCAAAAGTTTTGATGATTCCAGAGGGATATGGAGATTCTATCTGAAAGCTGAATACTAAAATGAATGTATGAATAAATTAGAATAAGTACTTTGGAATAACTGGACACAATAGATTTCATGCTCACTACGCGTAAGAGTAAAAATGTCCTGAATGTCTTGTTATAAATTCAGTTCACTAAGATCTTGTCAGCAACTAGATACTCGTCCTCACAGATTAGTCTGTCCCCCATAGAAAATAATCCAAGGACACTTCACCAGCTGCAGGTAGTAACCAAATACACAACAATGCATTGTGAGGGCTTTTCTTCACTTTCAGTGAGGAATGAATTTGAGCATAATTTCTTATTAATGAAATTAAGATGGATTATGAGCGGTTGTGAATTCTTTTATACTAAACTCAAATTAATCTTTAGATAACAATGCAAGAAAATGAAGAATGCACAAGTGTTTTTCAACCAAAGATAATATTTCTGTATTTTACATGGAAATAAATGTATTTTTCTGTGGATTGCTTAATTTAGTTGGCTTATCAAGATTAGAGTTTATAATACTAAGCAACATAATTCCAGTGGAAAAAGTATTTAAAATATCTTTTCTTCAGCATTTCACAGTTCTTTCAAATCAACTTTTCAGATAGGCAGATAGAGTAGATGTCTAACAAACTCTGAAGGATACTAGTTCAGCATCTTTATTATTAGTCATCAAATCTTTTGTTGCATTAACTGAAGTGCCAGTTCCTTGTACGATGCATCACTAATACCCTATGGCAAAATGTCTTTTAAAGACTATGACTATTTCATGTGCTGTACATACAGATTATACAATGAGGACATGATGATGCCTCACTGTTTGCATTGCTGTTAGTCCAAGTTTGGACTTGATAATATTTGAAGAGTTCTTCTAAGGGTGAGGCTGATGACTAAGGAAAGAGGTGATTTGGAAGGCCAGTGGTAACGCAACAAAATTGAAATGAGAAGCCAGCTCCTTTGAGAAAATATATACAGAAAATATATTAATGATTTCATGGATATCACTCAACAAGTTGTTCAACCTTCTTGTGATCACAGGATAACTAGTACTCAAAAAGCACATCTAGAACCAATCCTTGTCAAAAAAAAACAGTGAAAGTGTTCTGGTTCCATGGAAGGCTTCTGTCTTCTCATTAGTATAACTGTCTTCTCATTATCTGATATATAATATAATTAAATGCTGCCATGTAACGTGTTGGTGCTGCAGATGCCCAGATTGCACAGGTTTCTCTTCAGATCTTACAAATGTTTTGCTTTTTATTAAAGATTTGTGTGGAGTAGCACATTTCTGAGTTCCAGCCCAATCTGAACTGTGACTAGCTTTCAGCTCTTCAGCTATGCAACTTGTTCATTGAGTGAATATGTGGGAGGGGGGGAAAAAAAAAGGAGGGGAAAAGAAGAAAGCTGTATGTGGAGTGCAGGATGGGGTAAGTTCAAGGACAGATCTGCTAGTTCCTCTTACCCATATTTTGTGGGCAATTAAACATTTCCTATGTATACATCTCAGGAAGTGCCAGCTGAAAATATACAATATTTATAAGCAGTCTGTCAGAACTGGGGATCTTGTAACACAAATTAACACCAAAAAAATCCAGATATTCTCCCAATTGAGGTTTCATCCTGTAGCTCAGTATGTTGCTCCTATTCTAGCAGACATCCAAAGGCACCTGCAAACAAAAGCCTTAGCAAACAGTAGGCACTAC